AACTAAGGCTTCCCACAGGGGGACCAACCAAGACAGGGCTCCAGAGGGGCACAAGTTGCCCAGATGCTGTCTCCAGCCAGCATTGCCCAAGCTGACATACGGCCAAGCTTTTTCCTCACCTGAAGCACCAGACAGGTTTGTTTGTTAGTACATCCAGGAGGGATGCCCAAGTGCCTAAATGTGACCTACCCTCCATCTCCCATCGCCACTCAGGTTTCCTGCTTCCCTGAAGGGACTGACTCCCTGGATAGCTTGGACTGTGTACCAAGGCCAAGAGGGGATCTTGTCACGTCCTCAGAAAGATTAGTAACTGTTACTGGCTGGGGTAGAGGAGCCCCTGATCAAAGGCAGGGGCCTGAACTAGATGACCCCCAAGGATGCTAATCCAGAGGTGGGGAGAGCCATGGGTGGAACTAGGTGAGAAAAGGAGACAAAGAAAAGGGGGAGGGCTGGGCGGGTCAATGGAGCTTTATTTGTTTTGGGCTTTTTGGCTGGCTGGTCTTGTTTGGCAGCCAGAGCTGTGACTGCCAAAAACACCTCTATGATTGCACCCAAAGGAAGATTCCACCAGCCAGAGGGGGAGTAGCAAGTCAGACCCCATGTACCTTCCTCCAGGCCAGAGCCCTAGGCCAGCCTGCCCTCCATTCTTCCAGAAAAGGAAGGCCACCCCCAAGGAAGGGCCAATGATCAGGGCCCAGAGACGGCCCTGCCTTGAAGCCAGGGACTTGGAAATTAACAATGACCTGTCAAAACTCAGGGGCTGACTGAGGCCAGTGAAAGTTAGCAAGAAACGGCAGACTTAGATTCCTTAAAAAGGTGGAATTAGAAATACCATTTGACCCAGCCATTCCATTACTAGGTATATATATCCTAAAGAAGTGAGAGCCATGATAAGCACAGACATATGCACGCCCACATTCATCACAGCACTATTTACAACAGCACAAAGATGAAAACAACCTAGGTGTCCATCAACTGAGGAATAGATAACCAAACTATGGTACATACACACAATGGAATACCATGCAACCCTAAAGAATAATGTAGAACCTGCAAAACACCACATAATGTGGATGAACTTGGAGGATTTTATGCTGAGTGGAATAAGGCAATCACAAAAGGGCAAATATTGTATTAGTCCATTATTGTAAAAAGTCAAGGAAAGGTTTATATATAGAAGGAAATTTTCTTTGTTGGTTACCAGGGGTGGAAGGGGAGGGAACACTGTTAGATAGGTAGAGATATGTATTGATTTGGGTGAAGAGAATGGCAAAGTACCAAATGTGAGTGATCAAATGGTAGCATTGAGGAAGAGGAAGACATAGAGAGGTACATGGGAGGTACAGACAACAAAGATGAACCCTTTTGTACATACAGTACTGCGTTGTCAGGGAAGGCAAACATGGGTATACAAGTGGATAGATGGGCGGACAGGCTGAACTATTAGGTATGTCTATATAGCAGGGAGTGTACCCAAGACCATGTATAGGGTTGGTAGACAATGGTTCTATAAGTATATTTGTATGTTCTGTAAGAATTCCCAGGTGTATAGTAGAGCTGACAAAGGACAAGATTGTAGTCACTTCTTGGTCACAGCCAACCCAGAGGGAGCAAGTAGTTGAACCTGTGGGCTCAGGACCATAGTGGCAGGGGCCATCAAGCTCAAATGTCATAACATACTACACAAAACATTGTTATACCTCCTACTTTGGCGAGTAGCGACTGGGATCTTAAAAGCTTACAAGCAGCCATCTAGATGCAACAATGGGTCTCTCCTCATCCAGAGTAAAGAAGAATGAAGAAAACCAAAGATCTATGGAAACAATTAGTCCTAGTAGCTGGTACACCATGTGATCCACAGCCAATATGACTATGAGACCGGAAGAACTAGATGGTGCCTGACTACCACTGTCAACCACTTGGAGGCGTAATTATGTAGAAGATCCTGGATAGACAGGGAGAACAATGTAGAACAAAATTCAAAGTCATTTGGGGGGGAAAAAAAAAAAGAGACCAGGTTTGCTGGTCTGATAGAGCCTGGTGGAGCCACTAAAAGTATGACCCCTAGCTGCCCTTCAGGTCTGGAATTGAACCCACACCTGTGGCTTCCAGCCAAACAAAAGACAAGCATATAAGTTGAACATTTACCTGAGGTAGATACACTCCTTGGAGAGAACAATCATGGGAGAAAGAAGGGCTGTTTATGCACAGGGAGACAGCTAAGGGGGCAGGAGTACATGGAGGGATGGACACAGGGAAGAGGTAACTATTGGGAGGAAGTGGGAGGGGAGCTGTTGCATTGGGGTAAATTGTAGTCAATGTCATAAGACAAAGTGTATGTGAACTGCTGTATGAAAAATAAATTTCCTCTGTAAACTTTTACCCAATCACAATAAAAAATAAAATAAAATAAACAGCAGATTTAGAAGAGATTATGCATTCGGGAATGGTGCTGGTTGAACAGCATCATGAACATGTTTAATGCCACTGAACTGCACATTTGAAGATTGTTGAAATGGCTAATGATTTGTTACCTACATATTTACCACAAAAGACATTCTGCAGAGAGGCTTATAAGAACTAGTCATCCAGCTGAAAGAAAATTAGGGTACAGGGCTGACCTAAACTGAGCCCCAACAGTAACAAGACAGCTTCTTTTTTCTATCCCACTACTCTGGTGGCATAGTCCCTAAGGCATCTGACTGCTAACCAGAAGGCTGGTAGTTCAAACCCACAAGCCACCAGCCACTCCTCAGAAGAAAGATTGGGGAATCTATTTCCATAGAGACACTGCCTCGGAAACCCAAGGAGAGGTCACTATGAGTCGACTCAACAGCAGTGAGTTTGGTTTTGGTTTACATTTTCCAGGAATGAGTGGTACAATGGATAAAGCACTCAGCTGCTAACTGAAAGGTCACCACCAGTTGCTCCATGAAGAAAAGACCTGACTATCTGCTCCCCTAAAGATTACCACCTAGAAACCCCTATTGGGCAGTTCTACTCTGTCCTTTGGGGTCATTGTGAATTGGAATTGACTTGATTTGTATATATACTGTTGAGTAAATTCCTACTCATAGCAAACCTACAGGACAGAGTAGAACTGCTCTAGGATTTCCAAGGCTAAGTCTTTACAGAAGCAGACTGCCTCGTCTATCTTCCAGGGGGTAGATGGCAAGGTCAAACCACCAACCTTTTGGTTAGCAGGCAAATGCTTTAACCACTGTGCTACCAGGGCTTCTAATTGACTTGATAGCAAACAACAATAATTCTTTCCAAGGGTCACAAAACTCAGAGGCTAAGAGTAAAGACTCAAAACTCCAACTCTCTGCTTTCAAGTCCGTCATGAAGGAATTGTGTGACCTTGGTCCAGGAACTAAAGCCTATTGAGCCTCGGTTTTCTCCTCTGTAAACTGGGGATATTGAAAATGAAAGCATCTACCTCATATGGTTGTTGTGAGGATTGTTGTTGTTGTTATGCGCCGTCGAGTAAGATCCGACTCATAGTGACCCCTCCTTGGGTTTTGGAGGCGGTATCACTATGGAAGTAGATTGCCCACCCTTCCTTCCGAGGAGTGGCTGGAGGGTTTGAACCACCAGCCTTCTGGTTAGCAGTCAGGTGCCTTAGGCACTAGGCTACCAGAGCTCCCCAATCCATGTATAGCATTTGGGACATACCTGGCACATCAGCTCTTATTTTGACATGAACAGACCCAGATGCTGTTCCTGTCCACTCCTCTCCCCAGAGTGCACAGGGGTGACCAGTGTGGAGCAGGGCAGGGCGCTGTGTTTGACCTCATGCCATTAGGATACCAGGTCAGGATGAAGATGTTGGGAGGCTGAGGTGAACCATGCAGGTGGGTGTTAAATGGCGGAGGGGCAGCATGTGTCAGAAGTGGGGTGGGTATTTTTATCCCCATTTTACAAATGAAAACAAAAAAGTCCAGCTCAGTCTTGAACCCAGGTCTCACTTGTTTTTCTTTTCCATGTTGTGCCACCATTATTGCTATCCTTTTCCAAAATATTCCACCACCATTAGCATAAACTCAATGCCCCCCCAAACAAAAGCTTCCCCTTTCCCCCTCCCTCCTACCCATTGTTGTTATGTGCCACCCCCCCAGTCAGACCAATTCATAGTGACCTCTCCTTGGGTTTCTGAGGCCCTATCGATATGGAAGTAGATTGCCCAACCTTCCTTCCGAAGAGCCCTAATAACCACTAATAATCTTCGGTCTCACTTTTCAAAGCCAAGGGCTCTTGGCTCTAACCATCTTTTCCCCTCCAGCCTGAGACAGTGGGCTGCACATAGGAAATGCTCAATAAATGATAGTTGAAATTGATGGAAGGAAGGGAGGGAAGAAGGAAGGGAGGAAGGAAGGGAGGGAGGGAGGAAGGGAGGGAGGAAGGGAGGGAGAGAGGAAGGAAGAAGGGAGAAGGTAAGTCAGGAGACTCTTTGGCAACAGAAAATAAAGGTGCTGTTTTCCAGTGCCAGGCTGGCATGGTGCCCAGGTCAGCTGCCCTACACTCAGGAGCCCAGGGCTGCTTCTTGCCTCATCTTTTCCAGAGAAGTATGTGAGCCAGATACGTCAGCTCTCAGGTATGCAGCTGAGGTTTGCAGCAAGAGGCGCGCTCTCTTCTCTCTCTTTCCTTGTAGAATCTGCACTTCCTTTTGCCTCCCCCACCTCCCCCATCCACCCGCGCAGCCAGCCTCAGCCCCCTCCCCTATGAACAAACTGTGAGCAGCCCCCTCAGGCAGGCAAATCCCCTGCCCAAGAGAGGGATCCTGCGTGGTGCTGGGGGAGGGGCAGGAGCACCACATCATCTAACAGGTTGGTCGGGCTAGGAGGTGCCCCGCCCTCCCCGAGCTAATGAGCACTGTACGACAGGTGTTTGCTCCTCAGTCCCCAGCCCGCCCTGGCTGCGACCAGAGCCAGCCACCAGCTCTCCCTAGCTTGCTCGTTCACCCAGCCTGCGCCCTCCCCGCTCCTGGGCCGGGGGGTGCCATGGCTTGCCGCTCCTGTGTCACTGGTTTCAGCAGCATCAGCAGCTGTGAGGTGAATCCAATATGCAGCCCCCAGCCTGGGACCTTGGGATGGGACAGCTGTGGGGCCCCTGGGCCAGGCTTCAGCTCCCGTAGCCTCACGGGATGCCAACCGACTGGCACCATCCCCAAGGTGACCTTGAACCCTAGCCTGCTGGTGCCCTTGGACCTGAAGGTGGACCCAGCTATTCAGCAGCAGAAGAACCAGGAGAAGGAGGAGATGAAGATCCTCAATGACAAGTTTGCCTCCTTGATTGGCAAGGTGAGCAGAAGGGAAGGGGGTCCCAAAACTAAGGATTATCAAGCCCAGGCGGGTGGTTGAGCTGTGTATCCCCCCACACACACACACATACACCCTGCCCCCAAGCATCTTGTTCCACCCCTGCTCCCAGCCAATGGGGAGCCAGCATGGGCCTCCACAGGCCGCTGTGAGCAAACAGATGGGGAGGGAAGTTTCTGATACATCCTGGCTTGAGGAGAGAAAGGGGTCTAGGATGGCCTTTGAGGGATGTCTGGGTAATAACATTCGGCATGGCCCGGGGTACCCCCTCCAGGCATGGACCAGCAAAGAGCACCGTGAGTGTGGCCAAGGGTATTTCCCCCTCGCTGGACCAGCAGATGGAGGTGTGGTCTATGGTCCTACCCCATGGCAGGTGGACAGCAGAGAGGACCTCTCAATGGTCCACCTTATGTCCATCCCTCAGGCCCTCAGGCCTCTGGCCCTGCAGCATCTCTCTCAAGGCAGCTTACCAGGGTCGGAAGCAGGCTAAAGGGCCATGTGGGGCAGCCACCAGAAGGAGGATGCAGCTTTGGCATCAGGAGATAGGAATGCAGGGGATATATGCTTCCAATAAGAAGCAGGCAGCTGCCTCTTCCTACTCCCCCACACCCCACCAGAGAGTAGAGGGAGTGACTCCCCAGAACCCTACTCCCCTTGCTTCCCAGACCCCATTGCCCACAGCCTACATGTTGTTCATCATGCCCCCAGGGCAAGGGCTACTAGTAAATGTAAATGTGATGTAATCTCTAGGGAGTCTTGTCCACCTCCCACACCTGCTCTTCACTCACCTCCTCCAAGAAGCCTCTATTGGTCATCCTCCCAGCTCTGTGCCCTCCAACCCCACCCAAGAACAATAATCATCAGAGTAACAGCTGCAGCTGAGCATTTGTCTACTATGTACCAGGCACTGTGCTTGGAGCTCTGGTAGCGTAGTGCATAAGGCATTTGACTGCTAACCGGAAGGCTGGTGGTTCAAACCCACCAGCCACTCCTCCAAAGGAAGGTTAGGAGATCTACTTCCGATCTACTTCCATAGAGATACTGCCTTGGACAGTATCCAATCCAAGGAGGGGTCACTATGAGTCGCTGGGTGGGTGACATATTTATCTCTATTTCCCTCAGCAACCTTATGGAAATAGACAGTTTATGCCCTTTTTACAGATGAGGAAAACTCAAACTTTCTCATCCTCCCTATAAACCGGAGCCATCCTTCTGCCCAGGCTCAGCTCTTGTTGGTACCTTGGCCTCCAGATTCTGTGTTCCTCTTCCTGTTGCCAGTCTCCTGCATTAGGTGGGAGTATGAAGAGAGAAGCAGAGGCGGAGTGGGACAGAGGGAGGAATGTGACATTTACTGAGCGTCAGTTTGTACCCGGTTCTCTGCAGGAAATTTACAAATGTGATGTCATTGAGCCCACTCAGCAACACTCTGGCTGTTAGTTTCCTTACTGTGCAGATGAGGAAACCAAGGACCAGAGAGGTTAAGTGCCTTGCCCAAGGTCATGCAGCTGGCAAGGGGTATAGTCTGGACTTGAACTCAGGTCTGTGAGACACAGGGCCAATAGTCTCTGAGGTGGGAATCATTACTTTGCCTCTCCCACTCATGTGCCCAAACAAGTTTCCTCATCTACTCTTACAGTGCCTAGGGTGGGGTATGTGGAGGGGACTGACTAACTGGAGAAGGACCACTGTGCACGGTAGCTGGGTTCCTCGAGTCCCGCACTGTTGCCCTAGTTTTCCCTCGAGAACAGTCCGGCAGCCATCTCTATTGGGAGGCAGGTTCCTGCAGAGCAACCTCCTCTCCAAACCCAGATTAATCCCTTAAAAGGAATGCTTCACTGAGCTATGTAATTTGGCTCTGATGAATAGCTTTTCTCCCTCGAATGCCAGTGCTGATATCACTCTGTACCTCTGCCATGGGACAGCAGGGGTGTGGAGGCACAGGGAGGGGACCCTGGGCCAGACGTTCTGTGTCCAGGAGCCAAGGCAATGCTCTGAAAGTCTAGAGCAGGATTGGAGCCTCCCAGCCTTCAAGCCTGGCCTTGGTGTGGGGACACCCTTCATAGTGGGATACCGGGAGCAGTTAATGCCAGCTGTTTGGGGGCCCTGACTGCTATGGCACTGCCCCCAGGAATCCCAAGTGAGCCACTAAGTCTACTGAGAAGGTCTGTCCCTTTCTGCTTCTGTAAGGCTGTTGAGTGCCTGGATAGAAGCAGGCAGTGGTTAAGAGCATGACGTCTGGAGTCACCCCCACTGAGTGTGAATCTGGGCTTCCCCCATACACACTAACCAGCTGCATAATCTCAGGCAAATTATAACAGGCTTGTCAAAAGAAAATGCGATATTAAAAAAAAAAAAAAAAGCACTTAGAACACAGCTGGTGCATGGTAAGTGCTTTGTAAGTGTTTGTTAAATAAAAAATGAAATTAATAGGCCCTGGCCCAGGGAGCTCCTAGAATCCCTTGAGCCTCTTCCAGGCAGGAGCCGGAGAAGAAGGCAGGCAGGGGGCCTTGTTGGAGGAAGAAATGGCAGAATTTTGTAGGTAAGGGGTGCATTGTGGTGGGTCCAGAGGTGAGAGGCCATGACACCTGCAGGGCTGGGGACTCTGGGCAGAAAGGTGGGGGCACTCAGGCTCCACATCCCCTTCTTTGTTCTCTGAGGCACTGAGAGAAACAAGACAGCACCGAGGAGAAGGAGGAGGGGTGGGGGAGACTCCCGCAAGATGACCAAGGAGCCCTGGAACAGTCTTGGCTCTGCCACTTGTTGGCTGTGTGTCCTTGGGCAAGCTGCTTGCCCTCTCTGTGCTTCTGATTCCTCCTCTGAGGGTGGCCCTGAGCTCATGCCAGTGGAAGGGCTGGTAAGGCTACATCATGAGAGGAAGGGAGGGATGCGAAGCAGCAGCAAGAGGGTCCTCAGGAAAGAAGGCCAAGGGAGGCAAGGAGAGGGCAATGGCTGGACCCCTCCCTTCACTTGCAGACGGCAGAGGGGATAGAGGTGGGACAGGAGGAAGGACTGCCCAAGCTCAGCCTCAGGACCCTACAGAGGGAATTCAAGAGGGGTAATGGAAGGCTTAGAGATGGAGAGATAGAGCAATGTCTGTCCCTAGGCCTGATTGACCTCAGGAAGTCACTGGAGCCATCCCACTGCCTGCAGCCAGGAAGGCTCAAATCAGCTTTTTTGACCAAGAGGTTAGGGGTCTTCCCGGGCAAAGACAATCTCTGGTTGAAGGCCACCTGAAGAATAGTACCTGCATGCCTCCAAAGGCACCACCCTCTAGGCTTACCTGCATCACAGGTTAGGGATCTAACCCTTTGCTATGTGTGGCCTCCCTCCCTCAAGGAGGACCCCAGCCAGGACCTCTACCCTGGGCTGCTCAGTTCCCTGCAAAAGAGCACATCTCTCCCCACAACCCTGCCTAGGCCTGGCCCTGCTTCTCAGCTGGGCAGCCCACCATCATACACTTCCTGCCTCCGAGCCTCCATTTTTTCATCTGTAAAATGGGAGGCAGATAAGCCAGGCATCTGCTCTCTTAGAACCCTCCTAGAGCTGCCACTGTGTGATCTAAGGTCAGGGCAGAGGAGGTGGTGGGGCTGAAACAGAGAGAAGGAAAAATGAGTGGTAAAACCAGCCTTGAAGGGTTGGAGGCAATTAACCTGGTACCTCCAAGGGCCCTGGATTACCAGCCCTCCCTAAACCATTGTTCCGAGAGGGAGGAGCCTTCCTTCAGGGAAGGTCCTGGGTGGGGGATCAGTTTCTATCCCCACCCACTGAGACAACAAGTGAGTCCCCCCAGGGCAGCAGGAGACAGGAGACTGTCCCTGATCCCCCAAGACCAAAAATACCCTCTTGCTGGATTGGCTGCCAAATGCACATCACCTCCCAGTGGGCTCATGCTGAAACATGGGGGACTGAGGTAAGACTAAGGGAAGAACTTCCTGGTGTGAAGGTTTTTCTGCTGCTCATGGGTGGAGGAAGAATTCTCACATCTCTCCTCTCACTCCACCCTCAGTGTAAACACAGGGATCCTGCTTGTCAAAACGGAGGGAAAGTGGGGTGAGCAGATACCCCCCTCCCAGTGCTCCCTCTCGCACACACAAAGCAGGGCAGAAACACTCTTGACCTCCATCCCCACTGAACCAGTTTGGCTGTGATGACAGCAGACGGTAGACTTAATGTCAGCTTCCTGCAGAACTTACCTGTGTAGTTGGAAGTTTGCAGGGGACCAACAGTCCGCAGGTACCATTTCTACATGCTGCTGTCCATTATTTTTGCTGCTGTTGTCTCTTGTGAGTGTCAGAATGGACTTCCCAAAGTCATCAGAGCTTCTCAAGGAAGAAGAGGAAAGTCTGAGGATGTGGGCAGGGCAGACAGAGGCACCCAATCCAGGTCCAGATTGGGCAGCAGCCATCAGATGGGTCTCTCTGAGAAGCTCTGCCACCAAGGTGTTGTGTGTGGCACCCCTGGGCCTCCATCTCTGTACATGAAGAGTTCAGAGCAGCTGACCCACAGCTGCTGGCGGCTCTCTCTGGCTGTGATTCTGTGAGCCTGTGCCAGTGGCTCCAGCAGTGATGGAAAGAGCCTCAGATGCTTGGCAGGACTACCAGGGCTGGCCTAGCCTGTGATCACAGGAAACATTATCAGGTTCATTATCACAACTGTAGCCTGAACTGCCCAGGATTCAGGTTCCTCCCACCTCAGTAGGGTGGGAGGAATATATGGCCCCCAGCCTAATAAGGAGGGGTGGTGGGCCAGGACAAAAGAGAAGCAGTAAAACCAAGGGCCTCAACAACTGAGAAAATAGGGAGTCTTCCCAACTGTTAGTCACAGAGGGCTTCCTGCAAGATGAGAGCCACAGCACAAAGGGGAAGGTGAGGAGGGACTGGAGCGGTGGAAAGGAGGGTGCCCAAGGAGGGCTGGAGCATGCAAAGATCTGGGAGAGTAGAGGTGGTGTGTGTGTGTGTGGGGGGGGGGTTTGGCCTGAAGCTGAGGCTGGAATGGGCTGGGAGGTAGGGGAGGAATGGACTCAAGAGGGACCCTGACAGTCTGACAATGGTTGTAGTGTGATTCACAGGCCCTGGGAGCCCCTGTAGGAGTCTGAGTGGGAGAGCATGAGTGAGTGGAGTTTGAGAGGTACAGTAGTGCTCAGAAGCCCTTCCAGTCTTCATCTTCAAAGCATAGGCCAGCTCAGGAAGAGTAGCTGGAGTTCCAGGGCCCTCAGTAACTCAACAGACAGGAGGCAGATGCTGCAGTGGTTAAGAGCAGAGATACTAAACTCAAACTACTTGGATTTTCATCTGTAAGATGCAGCCAATAATCATATCTATCCCATTGGGTTGTTCCAGGGATTTAAATGAGTTAAGAACAATGCCTGGCACACAGTAGGTGCCACATAAATGTTTGCTGGTATTATTATTCCAAAGTACATCCCCCGATTGTTCTCCCAACAGCCCTCAGAGGTGGCCAGGACAGATGATATCATCCCCAACTTCCAGCTGGGGAAACTGAGGCTCAGAGAGGAGGATACAAGTCCAAGGTTGTCGGAAGGATTAGCATTTTAAGTCCTAACCAGGCCCTACCCTGCTGAGTTTCCAAGACAAGATGAGACCAGGCCTGTCAAGGGGCAGGCAGACAGGCCTGTGACATCCCACGTTACCTGGGGTCTCCCACCCAAGCCCCAGGCAAGCATTGAGAGCCTGCCACACATAACTGGCATTCAAGCCTGAGTTCCCTCTAGTCTCATATACCTGGCCCTGCCCCTCCCCTAGGAAACCTTTGCTCATTGGCTCCACTCTCTGATTCCCTCCTTATCTCACCATCTTTGGTTGTAACAATGGGTAATTGGAGATTAGTTCTGAATGCACTGAGCAGGGCAGAGGGTGGGTGTGCACTGATGAGCTGCTACTTCTCAGAGAAGCCCACTCCAGGGCCTGGCACTTCAGCCCCCTACCTGGCCACACCTGGCCCTCTCACCACCACCTTCCTGCTCTCCCAGGTACAAGCCCTGGAGCAGCGTAATCAGCTGCTGGAGACCCGCTGGAGCTTCCTGCAGGGGCAAGACTCCAGTGTCTTCGACCTGGGGCACCTCTACGAGGAATACCAGGGCCAGCTGCAGGAGCAGCTGCGCAAAGTCAGCCAGGAGCGGGGACAGCTGGAAGCCAACCTGCTGCAGGTGCTCGGGAAGGTAGAAGAGTTCCGAATCAGGTAGGCCAGGCCCTCTAAGGACCACAGTTAAGACCTGGGTCTTCTGCTCAGGAACGAAATGTGGGGACCAACCTGTGCAGGTGGGAAGTGCAGGGCACAGAGACAGAGGAAAGGAGATACAGAACATTTCTTGACTCCAGATATGCTTACTAAGGACCTACTATGTTCCTAATAATATTCTAAACACTTTAACCACAGCCCAAATAGTGAACCTTGCAGACAAGTCAGTCTTGTGGCTAGTTCACAGCTAAGCACTATGCTTGCTGACCCAACCCACAATCCCCTGATTTGAACAGCCCATCCTCTGGTGCCCATAAACACGCCTGTTCTTGCCCACGCATCCCACTGGTGATGGGAAATTATGTCACCAGCTGGAACAACAGACGGGCTTCTGTTTTGGATATGGCTTTGGATTTTGATCTCTACTGGGCTAGAAAGGGAAGGGAAGCAGCTAGGGTGCAGGCAGGGGATGATAAGGGTGGATTTTATTTGAATAAAGCAGCTATCACCTACAAGTAATGTGTACTAGGCATCGAGGTCGATTTTGCAAGTAGAGAGATGAGGAAAACACAGCCCTAGCCTGCAAGATGCCTTCACAACTCAGACAGGGAGATAATCAGCTGGTAGGCAGTGTGTTCAGTAGTGAAGGGCCCAGGCTTGGGTATTGACTAGAAAGAGTTAATTCTTGCCCCTAGCGCTTAGTAGCTCTGTGACCTCAGGCAAGTTGCTTAACATCTATACCTCAGTTTCCTCCTGTATAAAATGGGCATGATAATAGTTGGCACCAATTTAAAGCTGGTAGAAGGAGGAAGTCGAGAGTTCGGCTTGGCAGTATAAGCAGCAGCTCTCCTAGCCCGCAGAAGGCTGAAGGGCCTGGCACACAGTAGGTGCTTGATGTGGGTTTGCTGAACTGGATTGGCCAGTCTAGAGGCAAACCAGGCATTTGGATTGCTCAGATGAAATGCAATCCTCTGGGCAGTGGGCAGGGCTCCATGGACAAGGGGGCTTTTGGCAGAGCCAGGATGGAGCAACCAAGCTGTGCCTGAACCTCCCCCTTGAGCCTAGTCTCCTTGGGAAGAGGCTCCCCAGCCAGCCTGAGGGCAGGACAATGTGTGGCCTAGGCCCTCTCCCACCTCCTCCAGCTCCAAGTCCAGTCTCAAGCCCTGCTGACCAAGGTGAGGCCTGCCTGCAGCTCCAGGAAGGCCTAGAGCCTCCAAGCCAGCCAGACAGAGCTGAAGGGTAGGGGCAGCCTCCCTCGGTAGTCCAAGGCTCTGGGCTCTGGCTCTGCTTTCCCACCACCTCTCTGCATGACCTCTCCTGCTCAGGCTCCACTCAGGATCAGAGGAGACGGTCACACAGGAAGCTCTCCCCATTCTGTGGGCCTCAGTTTCCTCATCTGGAATGAGCTGGCCAGAACCTCCCAGCCAACAGGCATGATCTGCAACCTGGCCTGGGCTGATCTCCCTGGCTGGGCCCCTCCCTGACCTCCTCTCCACTGGTCATGCCCTGGGGAAACATGCAGGGAATCTGATTGTCCATTCTTCCGGACCCCTGACCATGAAGAGAGGCATGAGCTAACCAGAACCCACAGCTCATTCCACCGATACCTACTAGGTCTTTGACCCTCAAGGGACTAGAGAATGGCAGAGCTGGAGGGCCTTGGCTCCTTCTATTATACGGAAGGAAACAGAGGCCCAGAGAGCGCAGGGGCTTGTCTTCAGTCACACGGCACGACTTCTCCCAGGAAGGCTGCCCAGCCAGATCTTGTTGATGGGAGCATTTTGTACCTGGAAGTTCTGTACAAATACTACTTGTTGTTTTAATCTGGCTCAGCCCCCTCACTTGGCCTTCTGCCTAGTTTCCATTGCCTGCTGCCTGCTTTTACTCTGTTTAGGTTCAGGGCCTCTCTTTCACTCTCTGGGAAGAGAACACAATGGAGTCCAGGGAGGAGAGACTGGGCCTAGGAACAAGGCTGGAGGGCTTCAGACCATAGCTGAGCCTGCACAGAGCCTGGGGCCCCCAGGAGCCAGGAGGTGCCAAGCTGAGCCCTGGCAGGGAGGGGCTGTGCCCTGCCTCTACAAGGCGATGAGATCAGCCTCGCTCCCAGAAATAAACAAGGGAGAGGGGGGTAACAAGCTGAAAAGGGTCCTGAGAACAGGTTTGGGAGCTGGTGGCTGGCAGACTGGCAGAGGACTGGGGGTGGTAAGGGGAGATGGCGTCACCTAAGCCTCTCCGGGAATGGAGACTCCCAAAGGCTTTGTGACGGCAAGGACTCCAAAGATCAGCTAGCTGAACCCATCTGTTTACTAAGGTGGAAGCAGAGGCCCAGCAAAAGGAAACAACTTGCCCAAGGCCACACAGCAAGTGACTCAGGGATGCTACATACACTTGTGCAAGCTGTTCATTGGACAAGAGTATCGGTTAAGAGAGTCAGTCAGCAGGGACTGAAATCCAGTCATGCATCAAGCCGTGCACACTAGTGCAGGACTGCACACCTCTGAGGAAGGGGGCCTTTTGCTAGTTCATGTGAAGGCTGGATATGGGCTAGCAGGAACCTTATAGGGACAGTCCCCAAATTAGAACACAGCTTCTTGCTTCAGTCCAGTGCTTGTACCGTGCCACCAGCTAGATCCTGGAAAATGGTCCATGGCAGGGAGGTACCAGGCTCCACCCCATCCCACCCAGCATGCCTGAAGGTCCAAGGGCAGGAAAGACCTCAGTCTAGACAGGATATTCTGAAGACCCCTCAGGCCCCGACCCTCCTGGTGTCTTTCCCTGCACCAGAAAACCAAACTCACTGCCATCGAGTCAAACCCAACTCATAGTGACCCCTTCTTGGGTTTCCGAGGTGGTATCACTATGGAAGTAGATTGCCCAACCTTCCTTCCGAGGAGTGGCTGATGGGTTTGAACCATCTGCCATCTGGTTAGCAGTCAAATGTCTCAGTGGTCAGAGCTAAAAAATAAGTCAGGGAGCAGCTTGAAGGGATTGGAAATGAGTCACTGGGCGACGTGAAGATCAGCTCAGGGTGGCAGTCAGGACACCTTGTGAGAAGGGAAGAAGGAGGAGAGAGCTGTGAGGGGTTAGAAGAGGTTTGGCACCTCCAAGGCCCCCCTGGGTTACGCACCCCAAGTTCTGGCCCCTAGGCTGGCAGAATCTGTTATCCAGGGAGGAAGGGAGATGCTAATAGTGGGAGGGCCAACTGATGAAGGGCTTCTCATCTTAGGGCTACCCAGGGTAGGGAATTCCTCAGAGACCCCCAGATCCCATTGGGAAGCCTGTTCCAGTCAGCCCAGTCCTAAGGATTTGGGAAGGACTTGCAGAAAACTGCCCCTCTCTTCGATCAGGCCTCCCAGTTTCTCTCCAGGAGTGCTAGAGAGCCCGGGACAGGGGACAGAGGCCTGAGGGTCCAGCTTCCAGAATAACAGTAAGAGCTTTGGCGGATGTGGAGCACCACTGTGAACACTTTTTGTGTAACTTATTTAAGCCTCACGACTTCACTATCATCATAGTTCACACATAGTAGATACAGTAACTTATCCAAAGTCACATGGCAGCTTAGCAAGGAAGTCGGGATTTGAGTCCCAGTAGGCTGGCTCTGGAGCACCATGCTTAACCACCACACCACAGCAGTCACTAAACCCAGCTGAGGCCACACCCTTCTCGGAACCTTGGTCTCCCCATCTGTAAAATGGGACCAATAGTGGAGGGGTGGGGGCTCTGAAGATCACAAGAGAGAGTACACATAAAGCACCCAGCACAGGGGGAGGTGGTCACTCCCCACTCCAGTCAAGGTGCCTCACAGGCATTTTGTTTGCTGCAGTCCCCTGACCAGTCCCTCTCCCCCAGTGCTGCGATCTGCACCCTCTGAGCACCCCTCAGACTCAGGTCTTGGATGGAAATGCTGTTTGTATCCAGCACACGGAGTGTCAGAGATTCAGTGTGCCTCAGTTTCTAGCCTCCATTAGGGGGCTCCCCTCTAAGCCAGGCACTCCTATCAGCTCCTTGGGCAGGCACGCTGGTGGAAAAGAAGGCATTGTTATGGTGGGCAGGTCCAGCCAGCCGACCTGGGTGATAGATGCTGTCTCCGCTGTGAGGTCAAGGCCTAGGGCGGAGAGGCGACTATAATTAGAGCCGCCAATGATTCAGGTATTCCCTGGAGAGAAGGGTGGGAAAACAGGAAGCTGCAGGATCCCCACATCAGCTGGGGCAAGGAACCCTAAGGCTGGCTGACACCCACCCACATGGAGGCAAGATAAACACCTTGATTGGAGGAAGAGGGTAAGGTCAGGGACTAGGGATCTAGTTCCCCCAACTAACCATGTTCCAAACATGAGTTGAACTTGAGTACAAAAAACCAAGCCAAACTCACTGCCATCGAGTTGGTTCCAACTCATAGTGACCCCTCTTTGGGTTTCCAAGGCAATATCTCTACAGAAGTAGATTGCCCAACCTTCCTGGTGGGTTTGTACTGCCAGCCTTCTGGTTACCAGTCAAATGCTGTAGGCACTATGCCACCAAAGCTCCTGAACTTGAGTAAGGAGGAGGCAAAACTGAGCAGGGAGGGACCCCACCTCTGTAAAGTACTGACTGTACACATTGCATCAGAGGTGGGCTTTGTCACCCCACACACCCACACATTCACACACACATACATCTCACAGACAAGGAAGCTGAGGGAGGAGGTGAAGTCATGGTCCAAAAATACAACCATGTGCAAAGCCCACACTCTTTCTGTTGTCTCTTTAGAAGAAACATGATGGGATGGGGTCCACCTTCTAACAAAGCTTCAGGGGGTTGGGGAGGGAGGCTTCAGGGAAGGAAAAAAGGTAGTGTGAGTAGGGGGCTAGAAGCAAACTTGAGCAAAGGCAAAACCAATTGGAACCTGAGGTCCTTGGAGGAAGGGAGGAAATGAAGAGCGAGAGTACCAAGGTGAGCAGGCTGCACAATTAGGGAAGGCTTCCTGGAAGAGGTGATGTGGAGCCAAGCCAGGAGGAGGGACAAGAGGGAGAGGACAGATGATCATGGGCTGCTCAATGGGAGTGAGAGACTGGGGGTGTCACAGGAGATGTGGGGTTGCATCCACCTGAAGGAAGGGCCATTTTTTCTAATTGGTCCAGTTGAGCACCAGCCTCTCTCTCTCTCTCTCTCTCTCTCTCCTACTCTTCTCCTCCCTCTCCCTCCCAGGTATGAGGAGGAGATCTCCAAGCGCACAGACATGGAGTTCACCTTCGTCCAGCTGAAGAAGGTAGCCTGCTCAAACTGCCCTCCTCCTTCCTCCTGGCCTTCTGCGCCCTCTCCTTCCGGATCTCCTATTGTCCTTTGCTGCTAGGTCCTGTCCAGTTGATTCCACCTCATAGTGACTCCATGTGACAGAGTAGAACTGCCCCACAGGGTTTTCTTTGCCATAATCTTGACAGAAACGGATCGCCATGTCTTTCTCCTATGGAGCGGGTAGGTGGGTGCAAACTGCCAACCTTTTTGTTGGCAGCCAACCACTTAACCATTGCACCACTGCGGCTCCTCACTTTCCTTTAGTCCCAAGCAAAGCCTTCACAGGCTTGATTTCCAAGCCAACAGTTAGAGGGATGCATCTGTCCCCACTTTCCTCCTTTCTCCCAGGGTCTGAGCCAGGTGCCCTCTGGAAATCACCTCCCACTCTCATGTAGGAAGCAAAGAACCCCTATCCCACTCCTACCCGGAACCCCTCCATTTCTTCTCCAATCCCTCACCACTGCTCCCAATCCCAGGACCTGGACACAGAGTGTCTTCGACGGACTGAACTGGAAACCAAGTTAAAAGGTCTGAAGAGCTTCATGGAGCTGATGAAAACCATCTATGAGCAGGTGAGTGAGAGGTAGCCAGGGTCCTGCCCAGCCAAGGGCTGAAGGGTCCTTGGGCAGGGGATGCAGGGGAGGGCAGGACATCCAGTGTGGCATGAGACCTTCAGCAGTCACTTACCCGTTCCAGCCACAGATGTAACAATCTGCTAAACCCCTTCCTGTGCTGATGTCAGTAATCTTACCCTTCACCCCATCACTCATTTGCATGGAGCATGGGCACATTTCCTAAAGATAACTCTCAGCGAGAACTTACGTCTTCAAGTGTGCATGGAATGGTGAGAGTGTTCTGGGGCATCTGGGCAAAGACTGAGAGGCTGAGCACAGAGACAGGGCCCAACGGGACTTGAACAACTGTCCTTACTGAACTACCAGTTGCCACTGAGTCTATTTAGACCCATGGTGACCCCATGTGTATCAGAGTAGAAGTGAGCTCTAGAGTCTTCAGTGGCTGACAGTTTGGATATAGAAAGCCAGGTCTTCCTTCCTAGGTACCTCTGGGTAGACTAGAACTGCCAACACAGGGACTCCTTGACTGGACTAATCTCTCTCTGATCACTGAGCACCCCAGGTGCTCGCAGTTCTAGCCCTGATGAGCATGTACTTCACTCTTCCCCATCTGCTTGAGGCAGGGAAGACCTAGCTTCTAAGCAGACAAAAAATGACCCAGTGAATGCAGACACAGGAGCCTCCAGAACACATTCTCAGTTGCCTCTTGGTGAACAGTGGCCACCAGGCCCAGGGTGCTCTCTGCTATGCAGACACCAGGATGGGCCCTGCTGCTGAGGGCTGGATGCTGGATGTCACTCTCTGCTCCAACCACTGCCTCCTGGGCATCCTTCAGGATACCCGTTCTCCCCTCCACATCCCCTGTTTCCTGGGTGAGGTCATGTAGGGGTGATGCTCCCAAACTATTGTTATGCTCCCACAAATGCCTTCAGTTCAGCTGAAAGCAAGACAGGACCATTGTTGGCAATAGCAGGGCTTGGCAGCCTCTGTGTAAACTGCTGGTGCCAAGCTATGACAATGCAGCCAAGGTCAGAGTGGAAGACCAAGCCTTGCCCTCAGTCAGAAAGTTCTGCTGAAGTGACCCTACAGGCTGCTGACCACAGCTACATGGCCTTGCCCTATGGAAACGAAGACTGGGCTTCGTAGCTGTGCTCGGATACACTTCCTTCCAGGAGGCTCAGCCCCCAGTTGATGCTTCTGTGGGACTGAGACCTGTTTGTGACCATGGGATGAAGTAGAGCAGAGGGAACACCACAACCTTTGGGAACAGTGGGAAGGCAGCCCTTCCAGGCTAAACACTCACACTGGTAGCCCTGGAAGCTTCATATCCCTGGCTAAACCCTCCACAGCCATAAGAGGCTGCCTGGGGTACATTGCCAGTGGATCAGCTTAAGGAGTGGGTTAGGAGCTCCTCTACCCCAACTCCCCACAGGCTAGTGCAGCCCACACCAACATCAGCGGGGCCAATGGTTCAGAATCTGCACTCTGCCCTGTTTGCTCACTTCTCAGCAAGCTCAGAGCCGAACCTCTAAGCCAGGATGCGGGCCTGCAGATGTGGCAATGTAACTAAAGAAGTCTGGGCTTAGCCAGCGGTATACCTGGGCACTGCCATAAACACACCCACAAAACTTCTAGGCTCCTGCCTCATTAGCAATGGAAAGGCTGCAAACTCCATTGAACTTTGCATCCCTTGGACCCAGATCCTGCCTCTGCCCTTTACCATTCTTGTGACCGTGGGCAAGTTTTTGCCTTTCTGTGCCTGTTTCCTCATCTATAAAATGGGGAGAGTAATAGCACTCACCTTGTAAGGTTGCTTAAATCCATTCATTCCTTTGACAAACGTGTATTGTGTGTCTACTATGCATCCTTTATAACAGCAATAACAGGCAAGGTCCCTGCTTAGCTGAGAAGAGACAGGGAACAAGCAAGTAAACAAATATCTGAACAAGAACATCTCAAAAGCGACAAGTGCTGGGATGCCTTACCAGGTGACCCAATAGTGCCAGAAGGAAGGGAGAGCTTCAGATCCCATAGTCAGGTGGTGCCAGTGAGCCAAGGCACAAAGATGGCGAAAAGCCAGCCCTGTGGAGATTTGGGGAAAACGTAGGGGGGACAGCTGAGCTGTGCAAAGCCCCTAAAGCAGGAGTGAGTTTGTGATTAAAAGACAAGAAAGAAGAAGCTGTGGCTATAGCCAAGAGGGCAAGGTGGCAAGCCCTCGGAGGGAAGGCCAGAGAACCTGGCAGAGGTCAGGCCATGTGGAGTTTGTGGCCCCAATAAGATGTTTGGACCTTTTTCTAAGTGAGATGGACGGCCAGCCACTGGCAGGTACTGGGGAGAGTGGGCATGGTTTGTACTTTTGTTAAGACTGCTGTGGAGAAGGGACTGTAGTGAGCACAGCAGATACTCAGTACATTGTAACTGTTATCACTTTGGGAAGCAGCATGGTGGTGAGTTGGTGTCTGTATTCTGCTCCCTGTTATCAGCTCAGGCTGAGAAGGTAACATTGACCCTCTGCTAAAAAGATTGCCCATATCCATGGGTGTCTAAGCCTGCACCATCTAATAGAGCTAGAGTGCAAGCCATATGTGTAATTTTTAGTATTCTAGTACCCAGCACCATCATCAATTGCTGCCACATCAGTTTGAACTCAGGGCCACCCCATGTGTGTCAGAGTGGAACTGTGCTCTGAGAGCTTTTCAGTGGCTGAGTTTTCAGAAGTGAATCTCCAGGCCTTTCTTGGACGGCCCCTCTGAGAGGACTCAAACCCAGCCTTTCGGTTAGCTGTTGAGCATATGAACCATTTGCACCACCAGGGATTAATTTTCTAGTAGTCACATTTTTAAAAAGGAAAGGAACATAAAATAATTGTAATAACATCTTATATAATTCAGTATTTGCAAAATATGATGATTTCAACATCAGTCAATATAAACAAAAAAAATTAGTAGGCTATTTTACACTCTTTTTTCATCCCAAGTCTTTAAAATACAGTGTGAGTTCTATCTACACTTACAGCTCATCTCAACTCATTCTAGCCCCATTTCAAGTGCTCAACAGCCTCACATGGCTGTTGTTCTCATTGTTGTCATTGTTAGTGCCACTGCCTGGCTGCATCCAACTGAGTTGCTTCCAACTTATAGTAACACCATATGTGCAGAGTAGAACTGTTCCAGAGGGTTTTCTTGGCTATCATCTTTATAAAAGCAGAGTGCCAAGTCTTTCTCCTATGGAGCCAGCGTATGGGCTCAAACAACCAACTTTGTGGTCAGCAGATGACTAGTAGCTACTATACTGGACAGGGCAGTTGTGAGCAAAGGAAGGTGCTAGCCGTGGCTGCCTTAGGTGAAAGACACAGATGGTGGAAAGTGAGTAGCCCCAAGAAAGCTGGATGCTCCTGTTTCAGTCTAAGAATAGGCACTAGATCAGAAAAGTACTGATGTACAGGTCCACCCTTCCCATTCCAATAAACAGTCCTCCCTTCTCCAACATACACACACATGCATACACATACACACACACACACACATCCATGGGCCTCCCCAGAGCCCACAAGCACCTCTGAATAAAACATGGCCTGGACAAGTTCTGAAAAGCCCCTCCCCAACCAGCTCAGCAGGAGCTGACAGTCAGGGGCTGCTCAGGGCCTCATCTGCACCACTGCAGCTTCCCAGAGAATCTGTCCACTTCTCATGGCCATCACAGAGCTTCATGACTGACAGCCCTCCTGGGACATGAGGCTGGGGTGAGGACCTTGCCGGCAGAAGCTCACATTCCCCCTCAGCATCCAAGGTACATTCCCGCTCCCAAGTGCATTTGGGGCCTGGCTGCATCCAGCTGGGATGTCATCTGCCCCACCCACAGACTCTGTTACAGGGAGATTAGCTGGGACTCTGCTGACAATCCCCAGCAGCCAGGCACACTGCAAGGGACCAAGCCCTGCAGAGAACCTGGCATCCTCTGAGCAGTCCTGGCGCCTACCTTAGAGGTGTCTCAAGGCCTCTTTGAGTAGGTTGCTCAGCCCCTGGCACTCCATCCCAGCTTCATCACCATTACCAACTACAACAATACCATCCTTAGTGCAAGGTGGTGCAGTGGTTGAGGCATATTTAGCTGCTAACCAGAAAGTCAGTGGTTCAAACCCACCAACTGCTCTGCCGGAGGAAGAGGAGATAGTCTACTTCCATAAAGATCTACAGCCTTTGAAAATACAATAAGTTGGAATCTACTCAATGACAGTGGATTTAGTTTTAGTGATCCTTAGAGCCTGTTTATTGAGCACCTACTATATACCAGGCATGCTGTTAAATGCTTTCCATACCTAATCTCATTTAATCCTCACAACAACCCTATGAAGTAGGCAGTTTGGCACAATTAAGAGAGCACAGACTTTAGAGCAGCTTGGACTACGTGAATTTGGCAGGTTACTTTAATCTCTCTATGCCTTGATTTCTCCATCTATAAAATGAAGAGAATAAGTGTACTGGGCTGTTGTGAGGATTCATTTTGTTAAGGCATGCTAAAGCACTTAGAACAGCATCTGGCACGTGGTAAGCACTGAATAAATGCTAGCTGTGTTCAGTTCTATAATTACATCCGTCTTACAGATGAGAAAACTAAAGCTCAGAAAAGTTTAGAAGCTTGGCTGTGGTTTCCCAGCTAATAAGAGGTGGTGGTATTCAGAATTCTGAGCCATTAAACACTACAGTTTACTGACCAAGACTAAACTGCCCTCTGGAGTCACCTCTGCCCTGACCTCGGGGACCTTAATGAGGGTGTCCACACACACAGCATCCTCCTCAGACTCTGGCTCCCAAAGGAGACTCTAAACTGCTCCTCAACTTAATTCTTGCCAAGTTGGAGACGCACGTCCTCTCCAGGGGGCCTATCTCGTGGTAGCACCTCCATACCACACAAGTAAGCATTGTTGTACCCTCTGCAGCCTGCAGGGGCCAGCATGTCTGAACATGTCTGTGGGTGTTCCTAATACTCCATTTCCTGTGTCTATTTCCCAAGCTCCTACTTTCCCTGCCTCTCTCCAGAAAGGATGGGAGAGTGCTCCATCAGCTGTGTCTTGCCAGTCTTGCCGGCCCAGGTTGGGGAAGCCCTCTCCCCGCTCTGCAGTGTGTCCTGACAGTGCCCTGGCTTTTTCTTGGACTGTTTGTGGTTGTCGACTGCCATCAAGTCAGCCCCGACTCACAGCTGTTGTTGTTGTTGTTGTTATGTGCCGTCGAGTCAGCCCTGACTCATAGCGACCCCTCTTTGGGTTACCGAGGCAGTATCACTACAGAAGTAGGATTGCCCAACCTTCCTTCTGAGGAGTGGCTGGTGGGTTTGAACCGCCAGCCTTCTGGTGAGCAGGCAAGTGTCTTAGCCACTATGCTACCAGAGCTCCCCGACTCACAGCAACCCCCTGCAAAACAGGATTGGACCGTTTTGATCCATAGGGTTTTCCCTGGCTGATTCTCAGAAGCAGACTGCCTGGGCTTTCTTCTTAGTCTGTCTGAGTCTGGAAGCTCTGCTGAAACCTGTTCAGCATCATAGCAACTTGCGAGCCCCCAGTGACAGCAGGTGATGGCTGCACTTGAGGTACACTGGCCGGGAGTAGGAGATGCTAAGTCAGGCCTAGGTTGGAGAGCGCTACCCAGAATTCCTCATGCCCACTAACCCTAAAGCTGCATCTCTGAAACTGTCCACAGTCAAGCTCTGGCCAGGGTATTGGTTCCACATGGGAAATGTTACACTCATATAGTAGCCAGTGGCTGCCTTGCGGTATGAGTCTATAGTAAACACCAACCTTACTCTGGCATGGGTTGGGCCATCAGTTTGTGTCTGCACAGGGATCTCTTTGAAATTCAACTGAAGATCAGCCCCAACAGGAGTCCCCAGCCCCCCAAGGACAGCTGGCCGTCTCAATAGCCATCAAGCCCAACCTCTTGCCAATTGCAGGGCAGAATCAGGGTGCCTCCAGAAGGGTTGCAGAGCCCATCCTTGTCCCCAGGAGATCCTGGGAGTGGGCTGGGCAGGCAAGCAGACTGGCAAGGGGCAGCCTTACTCAGCAGGCCTCCATGGTGACCCACAAGGCTCTGGTTAACCACCCTTGTCCCTGTAGTCTACAGCTCCAGAACAGTTCAGAAGTACCAGCCTCTGCCAGGTACAAAAACCAGGCACTCAACCCCAGCCTCTCTGAGCATAGGGTCAGGAAGGAGCCTGAAATCAACAGCCAGGGATGATAATTCAGTCATGAGCCAAAAAACTGCACCTGGGTCTGAGAAGGACCCCAGATCCAAAGGGGCAGATGTTAGGAAACATAGGGCACTGGGAAGCGTGTGAAACACCAGCATGGGGTACAGCAAAACCCAAACTGTGGAAACTCCACAAGCCAAGCAACTGGTTCTTGCAACAAGAAAACATGATAAGGAAATAAAAGAGAGAGAGCGAGAAATAGAGGGGGTTTCTATAGATTGGACTCCCTGGGCAGCACAAATGGTTTAGCACTCAACTACCAACTGAAATGCTAACAGTTCAAACCCAGAGGTTCTGCAGAAGACAGGCCTGGTGACCTGCTTCTGAAACGTCACAGCCTTGAGAACCCCATGGAACAGCTCTACTCTGCACACACAGGGTTACCATGAGCCACAACTGACTTGATGGCAACTGGCTTGGATTGTTTTTTTAAAAAAGTCTACAGATTGAAAGAAGCAGAGAGACGTATGTACTAATTTTAATGTATGAGCTTTGTTTTGATCTTGATTCAAACAAGCAACTGGGAAAAAAAAGTTATGAGGCAATCAGGGAAATGGGGACACTGAGTTTGACAATTGAAATAGAGTCAGGGGTGGACTGTGAATGCCAGTAGGAATACCATCCAGCCCAGGCCTCAGGCCCTCCTTCCCCAGGGGGAGCCTCACTTCCTACACACTGGGCCCTGAGCCCCACCCTCCTTCTGCCTGGCCCACTCCCTGCCTCCAGAAGCTCCCCACCAGGCCAGCCCAGTGACTCACTCTCTGCACAACGCTGGCAGATGCTCTGGTCACTCCTCTCTGGGTCCTCTCTCCTAAAGAGGGCCTGGCTGCTGTTCCACATCTCCAGGGAAGCAGCCCAGGGCCCAAGGGGCACACATATGGAGACCCCTGTTCCCACCTGCCTCCCTGCACACCCCTGAGCGTGCTGGCCAGGAAGATGTTAGGCTGCAGACAGGGTGTGGTAGGAAGCCAGTCTGGGCCTAGAAAAACAAGAAGGCTGCAGCTTCTTGTCTCCACCCTCTGAGGCTTATCAACAGTGGGGGAAGGCCAAGAGCTCTGGAGTCTGGCTCTGCACTCAGAGCTGGTTTCATAACATAAGCTCTTTGTGCCTCAGTTTCTCCTCAGTAACTTGGGGTGAATGAAGCTACCAGCCTCCTGAGGAGTCAATGTGAGAGCATGAAAAGCACTTAGCACCCAGCCTGGTGTGGAGTGAGTCTTCGTGAAATGGTAGCTTCCCAGGTGTCTCCAGAGATGTGGGTTGGCATTTCCTAAGCTGGGATGATACAGAGAGGAGGGAAGATGAGGGAAGGGAGGAAAAGATGAAAATTTTGTGGCTGAATCCCATTGCTGTTGCCTGTAAGCCCCTCAGGTAGAGAGGGAATGGGAGGTGACTCTCCCTGAAGTCTGAGTGTCAGAGGCAGGACCTCACCCTGAGCAGCCAGTACCCACCTTCAACGAGACAGGGGAGGGGCAGTGCATGTCTGTTGACCTCTAGCCACACCCCAGCCCCTCATCATTCATGGGGCTTCCATTCCAACATCTGTTTGACAAACTGAGACATGCCTTTGTGCCAGATTCTAGGCAGATGGAAAGGGCTTTGCTGGCCCACAGGGAGCTCCTGTCCCTGCAGAGGGAGAGCTGCAGGACAGGACACAGAGCTGTAACAGTGGAATCGTGAGCGAGGGGCCTGATGCTCCCCAGGCCCTGGACCTTGTCCCACCAGCCAGGAGGAGGGTGTCCCACCCCAGGAGTGGGCAACAGACAGTTGGGGGGAGGGGACTGGAGAGAATACGATGGTAGGGTGGGTCTCCCTGCCCAGAGAGGGAGGACAGCAGTGGGTGGGCAGAGACTAGTGACCTGCTTCCCACAAGTCCAAGCTGGGGAGCTCTGGTGGGAAGGCTTTATTCCTTCATCATCTCTCCAGGGAGACAGGAAGGGAGAAACTCCACTCTCTGCTCACCCTGAAGGGACTTGGAGAGGCAGAGGGTCCCGATGCCCTCCCCTAGTCCTAAATCCCCAACTTCTGTGCCCAAGCAGGACCTGAAGGACCTGACAACCCAAGTGAAGGACGTGTCTGTGACCGTGGGCATGGACAGCCGCTGCCACATCAACCTGAGTGACATTGTGGAGGAGGTGAAAGCCCAGTATGATGCCATCGCAGCACGCAGCCTGGAGGAGGCTGAGGCGTACTCCAGGAGCCAGGTGCGGCAGGTGGACCCACAGGCCAGAAAGATAGCAGGACAGTGCTCCCTGGGCCCAGGAGGGGCTGGGCTGTGATCACTAAGGTCTTTGGCAGCAATGTGTCCTAAGACTCTGTGACAATGGGGTGGGGAAGCACAGAGAAGGTGGGTGTGGGAGGCCACTGCAGTCAGCTCACAGCAGGTATGGAGAAGGGGAGAGCCTAGCTCTGTGCTCAGGATGAGGGGTGGGCCAAGGGAAACTCACCTCTATGGCCTCCAGCAACACCAGGTCATGTGTGGGCCCAGCCCATGGGGCTCAGTCCAGGGCAAGCAGGAGGGGCGCTGGGAGCAGGAGAGGAAAGAGGGTGGCTGGTGCCTGAAGGGAGCCACAGGGATGGAAATGGGGCAGGGAATAATGAAAGGGGACAAAATGTGGCCCACCTCACACAGATGTAGAGAAGAAGAAAAAAAACAGCAAGGGACAAGGGGTACTAAGAGGGACACTCATAGTGACACCCTCCACGCTCTCCCCTCCCCCAGCTGGAGGAGCGAGCTGCCCGCTCGGCGGAGTTTGGCATCAGCCTGCAGAGCAGCCGCAGTGAAATTGCAGACCTCAACGTGCGCATCCAGAAGCTCCGATCCCAGATCCTCTCCACCAAGAGCCACGTGAGTGTCCGGAGGACCCACCCAGGGTAGGCAGGGAGGAGCACACACTTAAACACAAACACTGAGTACAGGTATAGTGGCCTTGGGCAGGTCACTTGTACCTCTGTGCCTTTGTTTCCTCATCTATCAAATGGGATAGTAGCATCTTATGATGGTTATAGAGTCACATGAGCATTGCATAGGAAAGTTCTTTGTAAACTGGCCAGGGCTGTTGGCCTATTAAAGGGCCCCACCACCTCATATGCCAGAGCCCAATGGCTCCCTCCCAGCCCTCCCACCAACTATACAGAGAGAAGGGAGTAGAGCCTTAAGTCCCAGCCTCCTGCCAAGACAAGCAATTGCTGCTCTATTGCGGCTCTGTAGGGAAGTTGGGAGGAGCTCTGGTAGCATAGTACCTAAGGCACTTTACTGATAACCAGAAGGCTGTAGGTTCAAACTCACCAGCCACTCCTCAGAAGGAAGGCAATGTACTTCCATAGTGATACTGCCTCGGAAACCCAAGGAGGGGTCGCTATGAGTCAGGTCTGACTCAATGGCACGTAACAATAACAACAAGGAAGTTGGGACAGAATCCCTGGGTGAGTGGTACTTCCCTCTGGCCTTAGGAAGGTATCTCCTACAGTCTAACTGAATTCCCTCTTGCTTCATGTGCAACCCAAGAATGCCATTGCTCAGCCCTCTCTCCCCACATACATGCCCACCAGGCCGCAGGTGGGCTCCTAGCTGTGATCCACGCTCTTCCCTCTGTTGTCCCGACTGTAGTGCCTAAAACTGGAGGAGAACATCAAGGCGGCCGAGGAGCAGGGTGAGCTGGCCTTTCAGGATGCTAAGGCCAAGCTGGCCCAGCTGGAAGCCGCCCTGCAGCAGGCCAAGCAGGACATGGCACGGCAACTGCGCGAGTACCAGGAGCTCATGAACACCAAGCTGGCCCTGGACATCGAGATCGCCACCTACAGCAAGCTGGTAGAGGGCGAGGAGAGCCGGTGAGGGGACAGGCAAGAAGGAAGGCTAGGCGACCAGCCCCACACCAAGTCAGCCTCCCCTCTAGCATGGCCTGGGTTCAAGTTCTGGCTCGGCCACTTACAAATAGGGAGCCGTGGCCCAGTTCATTAAATCCTCTGTTTCCCCATGTGAAAAATGGGCTGACTGGAAATGTGGCCCACCTCACCCAGGGGAAGAGAGGATTAATGCGATTATGCTTGCAAATAAGTGCTCAGAGTGCTGGTGGTTTAGTGGTTTAGTAAGGCATTTGGCTGCTAACCAGAAGACTGGTGGTTCAAACCCACCAGCTATCTGCTCAAGAGGAAGGCGAGACTATCTATTTCTGTAAAGATTTGCAGCCTGGGAAACCCAATGGGGAAACCCAATTGCTATACTTTGGAATCAACTTGATGGCAGTGGGCTTGGTTTTTTTTTAAATGTTAGCTGAAATCCCTGGGTGGTGCAAAGAGTTAATGCACTCAGCTGCTACCAGAAAGGTTGGTGGTGGTTGTCTGAGGTGCCTCAGAACAAAGGGCTGGCAATCTACTTACAAAATATCAGTCACTGAAAACTCTGACATTCATGGGGTCTCCATGAATCAATCAACTCCATGGTGATTGGTTTAAATGTCAGTATTTATGAAGGGGAGAGGAGGCAGAGGCCCAGAGAGGACAAGCTGGCTAGCCAGTCACACAGCAGGGCAGCCACAGGGCTGGGAATATCCTTCTACCTGCCAGGTCCCAGGCCCTCAATCCCAGAGGAGCTTAAGCCACAGCCTCCCTCACATCCCACCATGCCCCCTCCCCAGGATGGAGCTGCCCTCGGCTGCTGTGGTCAGCGCTGTGCAGTCCCAATGCAGAACAAGTGAGTCTACCTGCCCCAGAGCCCATGGCGGGGAGGGGAACAGGGTGCAGGGGGATCATGACCCTAAGGCATCATTTTAAGTGGCTCCCAAATCTCCAGCCCCTCCTGTGCCCCATCCCTTATTTCCCCTATAGCTGCTTCCAATTCAGGCTTCTCCAAGGCCCCCTCCCGGAAGAAGAAAACCAAAAGCCACGTGATCAAAATCACCGAAACGTCTGCGAAGTTCCTCTCCCAGGAGTCGGAAGCCTCAGATTAAGGCAGCTGGATCCCAGAAGCCCCACACAGGTCACTCCTACTGCAGCAGGAGAGACTTAAGCTAGACTCAAGGAAGCAGCTTGGAGCCTTTGGACTGGGAGGAAAGGCAAAACCTGATACTGACCTGAGAGAAGGAGGGTTCAAACAGGGACTGCTTTTCTGTGGGTGCCCAGTAGTGAGTGGGAATGTCTCCAGCTGCTCAGGTCTACTCCACATTAATATCTCACAGTCTCACCCTTCCAAACTTCTGGCCAGAGGTTTTCCTGGCTGAGGAAACTGGAATTTGAGATCAGTTTTGTCTCCACCTCCTCTCTTCTCTGAGGCTCCTCACCCAACATAGGGCTCTAACCAAGGTCCCTTTGATTCTTTTGCCCAACCCTTGCCTTAAGCTCGTATCTCAAGCCTTGCCTCGCTCACCCAGCCCTGTCCCCACTATGGACTGGGGGCTGATGAGGAGCGTGTGGGTACCCTAACCCCATAACCGGAGTTCCTGGGGAACCTGGGTACTGAGTACCTCCTTGCTTTCCTGCACCTTCTGGGTCCCCCAGACACCTGACAGTATTAGGGAGTGAGGGGAGGAGGGTCCCTGGGTGTTGGGACCTGACCCTGGATCTCTGAGATCAACTCAAACACCTCCACCCCTGCCCCCCACCATGGGTCGTTCCCAATAGGTCATCTTGATAACTAGACTAGTGCATATGGGGCACTACCCCAGTCAGCTCCCAGCACCTTCTCCAGAAGCTACTCTTGCCAAAATCAACTCCCTAAGGGGGAGGCCAGGGGACAGCCTAGATGAGGCAGGACAATTAGACCTTCCTTCACCTCCCTGCCATCCCTAGGTTCACTAGCCCTCCTGGGATCTTTGCACTCTGTACCCAACCCAGGTCCTCCACAGCCTGAATGCCTGGCTTTCGAGCACCAAGGCCTGGAGCACCCGAGCCCCACCCTGCCATGAAGGCCTCGGCCCATTTCTCATGAGTCCCACTCTCAGAGCCCCCATCCTCCTCTCCATTGGGCCAACAGCCTGGCCTTCCCTCCTTCACATTCACTGCAAACCCAGGAATATCCCACACCTCTGGAGTTACAGCTCCTTTTCTAGGGGGTGCCTTGCCCTTGACCCCACTCCCTTTCCTTCCCCCATGCCCACTCTCCCTGCCTCTGGCAGGGCCATGAAGAAGGCACAATCCAGGCAGGCCTGGGGTCTTCCGAGCCCTTGAGGTCAGGCTGGAGAGGCAAAGAGAGAAATTCTACATCCAATAAGAGGATCTGAGGTTAAAACGTGGGTATACCTATTTCTTCCTCTGTGCTCTCACCTTTGGGGTTTGCACAGCCCCTTCTCTGCTTTGCTCTCTTCTCCCCTACTGGCCCCATGCCCTCACCTCCTTTTCTGGCCCCAGTCTTTTGATTCATTCATCTCATTTTCCAGGACATGGTGGCCCAAAGCCTTGGCCCCTCCCAGAACTCAAGGCCCTCCAGGCCTGTAGGGGGCACTGAAGGGCTACTGTCTCTCAGGCTGAAGGGAACCCGGACATCTATGCTCATCCCAAAACAGGGTGCTAACTGCTGTTTTTTCTCTGGCTATTTATTGGTTTCCAAGGGAGCAGATCCTCAGTAGGGATAAAGATATATAAAGTATATATATTATTTTTTCATAACTTATGTGGCTTTTAACTTATTGCTTCCCTTCTTGTTTCTTCATGATCAGTGCTGTACATACTATCTTTCTGGGTAGACACCCCTTCTGATTGGCTAAGTAACTTGGGGCAATGCCCCCTTCTCCCTGACAAGGGGTGAATAAAGTGCTGAGATTTGTCCACGGATGGAACTGTGTGTCTGTTATTTATCTTCTCTCTCAGGATTGGTCAGTCAGTGGTCAATCAGGTTGATCACAAGACTTTGGGAATTCTCCCATAATGGAAAATGGATCTAAGGACCTAGTTGTACCTTCAGACCAATACAACTTAAGACACAAAAAAAGTTCTCCTGCCTCACCATCCTACATGGAGTCTGAATCAGCATTGATCTGTGTTCCAAGTGCTTCCTGACATGCTTGGGCACCACGTGGGCTGCCTTATCAAGCACATATGTGAGGATCCCCCAAGTGATGGCAGGCTTCCTTCTCAAACATTTCTGCCCGCCCGTGGGGGTTGGCACAGCCCAGAAACTATTCTGATGGGTACAGGCCTAATCCTGCCGAATCAAATTCTAGTTTAACAAATAAGAATTATGAACCTTACCCAAGCCCAGCCCTGTGCTAAGACACCTACGATTGCTCTCCGCCCCTCTGCCACAAGCAGCTCACAGTCAGGTTGGAGATTTAAGATAACCACTCAAGATAGCCATCCTAGACTTCCCAGCCAGGTGCAGAAATGGGTGCTACTGATGATCAGAGAAGAGAAACACTTGTGGAGAGGATGAGAACAGACTGCTTGGTAGAAACTAGACTTTATGTGATCATGAAGGGGGCTAGATAAACTAAAAGAAGAACAGATTTCTCCACAAAGGAACTGGGCGGTGGAGGGGAGGGGTCTTCAACAGATGGCATGGGTTCGTGTCCTGACTCACCTTACCTACCAACAATGAGACTTGGGGCGAATGAAGACTCAGTTTCCTAATCTGTAAAATGGAGCAACATCTCACAAGGATATTCACCTCACAAGGTGCTGGGGATCTAGCGAAGTATCCACGTTCATTCCTATCAGGCACTATTGCTTCTGGCACTCTGAACTCTGGCACACTCAACAAATGCAAAGGATTATAGTAATGTCATTATTGGTATTACAGCAGATGTTAAAGATTAAAGACTACCTACTAGTTGGGAGACCCAGAGAGAGGCAAATGGGCCTCAGGGATGGCTCCCACAGGGTGCCACACAGCCAGGGCCCCCATCCGTGAGTTCAGAGACCAGGGTTATTTGTTCTCCTGAGGACACTGAAGGCTAGGATGCCCTTTCAGAACTCAGGAGAGACTGACAAATGAACCATATACCCATCCAGGAGAGACCTAGGGCTGAGGCCAGCTCTCTCTTGATTGTATCTTTGACCTCACTCCCCTTTTTTTCTAGTTTATTCATCTCTGCCTGAATATTTGTTATTCTCTTCCATCTACTTCCTTTATTATGTTATCTTGTTCCAACTTACTGAGCTCAATGCTTAGATCATTAGCTTTCTATCTTCTTTTCCAACTGGATCTTTGAAGACTATAAATTTCCCTCTAAGTACCCTTTTGGCAGCACCCTACAGTTTTCATATGTAGCATTTTTATTATCCTTTAGTTAAAACGATTTTATTCTTTGACCCTCACATTGTTTAGAAATATTCACACACACACACAGGTCATTCATTTTACAAACGTTTACTTATCTCAGCTGTGCCTGGCCCTGCTATGGATGCTCAGGGGACATTAAATTCATCTGACATCTATCTCTGCATCCTTGACTCCTTCATCTTCTACCCAGTAGTGCTTCGATTGCTTTTGTGCTTCTTATCCCAGAAGATTCTAGATTCTTTGAGGGCAGGGATTGTGTCCAATTGTATCCCAGGACTTTGCACAGTTCCTGACCCTTAGGTGTTCAATAAATGTAGAACAAAAGAATAAATGAGTGGATTGATGGATGAATGATATCCCTCCCCAGCCAAGGTCCCCTAGCCTGAAAGTCCCAAGAAGACAAGGGCATGCCTAATAAAACTCTGTATCCCCCAAGCTAATACAATGCCTGACTAATGGAAGGGTTACAGTAGGGTGTGTAGATGAATGAATGAATGAATGAATGAAGACAATGATTTCCCTTCCCAAACAAGGAAACTCTCCTGCTTATTGATGTTGCATGGTTACCCTATAGGACAGAGTAGAACTGTCCTGTAGTTTCCTTTGCTGTAATCTCTCCGGGAGCAGATCACCAGGTCTTTTCTCCTGCAAAATGGCTGATGGAGTCAAACCTCCAACTTTTTGGTTAACAGCCAAGCTCTTAACCATTGCACCACCAGGGCTCCTTTCCTCTCCTGCTAACAGCTAAACTGCTCTCTGACAGGGTGCAGATTCTGACTCCCCTCCTTGTGCTGAGCTCCCCACTCCCTTCCTCTTTCCCACTCCTGCCCTCAGGGACAGATGTCATGAACGTTCTGCCAAGGGCACCACCCTGCCCTGGCTAAAATAACAAAAAAAAAAAAAAAGCCCCTATCTGGCTTTGCCTCTCTCTTCTCTAACCACCCTGTGAGACGGGCAGGACAGGTATCATTACCTGAGGCCCAGAGAGGTGAAGCACTGTAACTTTGGTCACCCAACAGGTGAGAGGAAGCATTTGGGCATGGAAGCATTTTTACCTACAGATTGCCTACCACAGAGGGGCAGAAAAATGACCAAACCCAGAAGATGGTGAGGTGGAGACTGAAGGCCCCCACCTGCAAACATAAAGGGCAGATGGGCTTAAGCAGGAATGCAACAGCCAGGGCCCAGCCTGAGCCCCCAGACTAGCAAAGAAAGTCAGGACTCTGCAGCTTTGTGCCAGGACTACCACGTAAGCATGCTAGTGGGAACATACTGGTGGTTCCAGAGAAACCTTCCTCCCAGGGGCTCCCATGTGCTCAGGGTTGACTACACAACTTCCCCTCCTGCCCCTTCTCCTAGCCTATTTAGGCCTGGGAGAAAATGGCTAGAGAGCCTTCTGGGGGAGACAGAAACAGCAGCTAAACCAGGCCCAAGCCCTCAGCACTGGGGGCCTGCAGAGCACCTGAAGGAAGCTAGTCAAGGAGGAGGAGGAAGATGGCTCGGAAGAAAGGGCTGGCAAAGAGGAAGGGAGCAGAAACGGCCTAGGAGAGCCCAGCAGGTTTGCCCAGCTTCCAGACTGGGTAGAGAGGAGCCTCTGGGAGTTATCAGACATGAGCAGGGAAGCCTGCATTGAGAATGAGGAAAATTATGTGTCATAGTGCAAGACAGCCCCTGAAACCCCCACCAGAATATAAACCAATCGTAGCTAGGGACTGTGTCTTCTTCAACTGTGTA